CACCATAGGGGAACAAGACTGAACACAGCATTCAGTGAAATAGTGACCATTTAATTTTCCAATGTCAACATCCTGGACTTTACTATTGACCAGAAATGGATCCTGACTAGCCATATTAATATTGTAGGTATAAGAGCAGGTCAAATGCCGGGCTTTCTGTGGCGAGTAAATCACTTCCTGATTCCCCAAAGCCTTTCGGACATCTCTATTGTACAAATCAGAACTTTGAATAAATACTGTCCATTTGGCTGAACAAGTGTAGCTCCAGCAACATTCAAGAAGTTCAATACCATCTAGGGCAAAGTAACCTGGTGGAGTGGCATCCCATCCGCTATCTTAAACATATCCTCCCTCCATCACCAGTGCAGAAAATCAGCAGTGAGTACCAACGGAAAGATGTACTGCAACAACTGACCAAGGGTCTTAAAACAGCATGTTCCAAACCTGCAGCCTCTGCCACCTACAACATTCAGGGCAGTAGATTCATGGAAGCACCATCATCTGCAGATTACTATCCAACTCACACATCAGCCCACTGGGAACTATATCATTGTTCCTACAATAGTCCTGGGTGAAAATCCAAAAACACCCTCCATAACAGCACTAAGCACTACACCATAGTCATACAGCTTGGAAACAGACCCTTCAGTCCAATCAGTCCATTCTGAAGATAATCCCAAACTAAACTAGTCCCAGCTGCCTGCTCCTGGCCCATATCCCTCCAAACCTTTCCTTTTAATGTACTTACCTAGATGTCTTCTAAATGTTGTAAATGTGCCCTCATCCACCACTTCCTCAGGAAGTTCAATCCACATTCCAACCACCCTCTGTGTAAAAAAAAATTGCCCTTCATGACTTTTCTAAATCTCTCTCTTCTCACCTTAAAAATGTGCCCCCTAGTCTTGAAATCTGCCAAGTTAGGGGAAAGATACCTACCATTAACCCTTTCTATACCCCTCATCATTTATTTGAAGAAGGTTGCCAAACCACTATCTCAAGTGTAATTAGGGATGGGCAACATTTCTTGCCATTACGAAAGATCCTTACATCCCAGTAATGAATGGGAAAAATAATTCTACATGGTCAATTTTCTTTGGTTGGTGTTGGTGCACAGGGGACCCAAAGCATTTGGTATACCCAAAACAAGAGAATGGAGCATAGACTGGTCAATTTTAATGGCTTATGATAATATTGCATATCAATCTTACATTCTAAGATGACAAGAATGATCTTAAGGCTGAAGGGCAGAAACAAGAATTGAGGCAGGGTCTCCAGATCCTGGTCATAGTGAAGAAATGGGTTGCAAGCCGGTTTTGGGAGGGACAGGAAAGTTGCAGCAGGGGAACCTTGAGAAGGAGCAATGCAGCAACTTCAGGTCAGTTAAACAACTCACAAGATTTTGACTCATCCTGGGCACCATTCCCACCTGGGGGGTGGATGAGGTATTGGGAATTTTAAAGTCAGCTCCTATTTTGAAAAGTGGAAAGTGGAAGTCACAATGCAAATTATTTGCTTTTAATTTTAGAATTTGATTTAGCTTGAAGTTAATATTTGTGTTTCATGATTTTATTCAATTTTGCAATTCTGCTTATAATTACTGGATTCTATCCAGATAAATCCAAAAATCAGAAGGCTCAGAAGTTATATTGATTTATATGAAAATAATTTTTTTTAAATCCTTGAATATAATCAAAGAACAGTCACAAACCTGGAACAAATTAAATGCTATTCATGGGAATTGAGGACTGAGTTATTTGACTAAAGCATTTCCTTCCATGTAAGTAAATAATAACACAAAGAAATACCAAAGAAATCAACAATAAAAATACACCAATAATGAGAAGCAATGCCAGCATTAGCTTGATTTCTTTTTTTGTGAGGGTGTTTCCCAAGAAATCTATCTTTAATTCAGTGCCATCTGTGAAAACAAAGATACTTATTAAAAAAAAGAGATAGCAAGAACTGTAGATGCTGGACTCAGAGATAACAAAGTGTGGAGCTGAAGGAATAAAGCAGGCAAAGCAGCATCAGAGGAGCGGGAAAGTTGACGTTTCGAGTCGGGACACTTCTTCAGACCTGACCCGAAACGTCAACTTTCCCGCTCCTCTGATGCTGCCTAGCTTGCTGTGTTCCTTCAGCTCCACACTTTGTTATTTCTAATTATTAAAAAAATTTGTTTAATACCACATGAAGTATAAAAGAGTTAATACCTTAATATACAGACTTCGAAACTTTACTAACATTCAAAGCATTTCTTTCTTGGTATGTAGTATAATATACTTAATATGTTCTATTGCATTGTAAATATCCAATTTGCTTAAATCTTTGCAATTTACATAAAACACCTCGGGCTAAATGCTCCACCCATTCACTAGCAGAAAATCCAGCTAATCAAGTTTTCCCAGCAACTTTCTGCCCAAAGTCTACACCGTTAAGTAATCAACACTATTTGAACAATACTCAATCATCTTCTGGATTATACTCAATATTTGATGCACATATTAAAACACATTACTTCACAGTCTATGAATAGGGTCATTTCAGGGTTCTGAAGATCTAAATACAGACTCTCATGGAAGACACTGGATTGGAGGCAAATTCAGAAAGTCCCCAAGAAAGGAAACATTGCACTATTCATCTGCACTCTTTCTTTCCAATGAAAGCAGCAGACAAGTGTTTCAGAGGGAAAGCAAAATTATCTGACACTAGAATGAGATCAAGCTGACCACACCTTTTAAAGTGGAAGTGTATTTTGAGTGGAGAAGGTGCTGCATGTCATTCTAAGAGGACAGTCAAAGGGAATAGACTCAAAAATGGAACAAAACAGGATACAATAGGTCTTAAGATTTTCCAATAAAGTACAGGAGGTGCTGATGCTCAAGGTGGACAGGAAGAGAGCTGTTCTACTCACAGAGGCAAACAAATTCTCCAACCAGACACTGGGCAGTCAAAAGAATCTGACAGCCCTCACAGTCAATAACAGTAGCAAAGCCTTGGGAATCTCATAGCTCACCATAACCTTCTCAAGGGCAATAAGGAATGAGCAACAAATGCTAGGCTAGACAACATCACCCAAACCCCATGAAAGAATAAATAAATCTGGCTGTAGAATCAAAGAGTACCTCTAACATAGAAAGATCACTTGGCACATCTTGTCTGTGCCTGCTGAAAAAACTGAGCCACCCAGCCGAAACTCATTTTCCAAGATTTTGTCTGTAACCCTCTAGATTAGGGATACAACCATGGAAAACTAGAAAGTGACATGAGACGAGACAAGAGTGGGCAAGTTCAGTAAATATGTCCTCAAATGCCATGGTCTTTACATCTAAACCAACTGTTTAACACTACTTAATTCATCACATCCCCTTTATTCACTTTCCCAAATTCTCTTTCAACCACAATTCTTATATCCCACTCATTGCTTTACCACATTCTCATTCAATTTACATTAATGCAAGCTTCATTTCCATATCTCACAGCTATGCCAGCATTACAGCCATTACACTTTTACAGATTGCACCACACTCAATGACATTTCTCTCTCTTATAGGGCATTGTAGTGCATAGCATGTCCTTACCACCATGGAGAAGTTGGTGCTCACCAACTTTGGAATGGCTACAGCTGAAGCCATGAGCAGCAGCTGGGATGGAAGGATTGTATCTAATTGCCATTCTCATTCTACAATCTCTTCTGATTTAAAAAGAACAAATTGGATAAACATGCACCTAATCAAAGGCTAGAACAGAGGTAGGATCTTCAAGTAATGAGTTGCCGGGCATAAATAGCCTGCAGCCAGTGCAACTAGAAAGGATCAAGCAGATGTAAACCTTGGAAGAACAACATCTGCAGCAGAGGAACCAGATGAGGATCATCATAAGACAATGTATGAAAAAGGCTGATTGGTATGCAATGAAATGTCTAGTACATTACCAGGCCTGTCAGAAAGTATTGTAACAGAGCATGGAGAAGTACAGTTTGAAGTTCACCCTTGTCAGAGTGGAAGTGGTCATCAATTCTAAGAGATCCTTCATGGACTTGTGGAATTGTCCTCTCAGAGCAGTGAAGCCAAGGTCACTAAATACTTTTAAGGCCGAGTTAGCTAAATTCTTGGCAGTCAAGGGAATCAAAGGATATAGCAAGTCAACTGCAAAGCAAAGGCCACAATCAGATAAGCCTTGATTTTCTCAAATGGCTGACATTAAATGTCAAATGTCATCAAAACCAAAACTTGCTGGACTTCAGTTCATCTTCACAATTAACTTTTACCCAATCAAGAAACTCTGTGTTCAGATACCCGATAGCAGGTAGGAACCTGGCAAACAGCAATTCTTCCTGAATTTCAGAGCAAGTACTTGCTGTGTTGTTCTTATAATAATACAACTTTAAATGATGCTTCCATTCACTTGTGCTGCACCTCCTCCAAGTACAGTTGTACTTCCAAGCAGAGGAAGGCGTGCTGCATTACTAAGCCCATTTCCTACTGCCAAAAAGAGGACAGCTTATGGTTAAAAGGTAGGGTACACTACAAACAACAAAGGGGGTTACATGGCTGAAGAGTATGGAACCATGAAAGCAGTACAGCTGAGGAAGGTCAAGTGGGGCAAAGGTGAGCTCACATCAGTCCAGGAGGAGATGTGCTCCTGTCAGTCTGGCAGGAGGTGTACTCAATTACTGGGTTTCACATCAGTGTCATTAGTAGCCAGTCAGCATGAATCCCTCATAATCTATTAGCTATCATCTGGTCTAGTGTTTTGGCTCAAATGTTGATGGTACATTGGGATGCTGAAGAAAAAAGGCAGTATGTTAAAATACATATGCATCAACCTGCGTATCGCACTGAATTTGAGGCATGAAGAACCTAATATTAAATAATGAAATATAATCTCATCTCAGCAGAGCCATCTGCAGTGTTTTTTCACATTCTAACTCAAAAGTAGACATGCTACCATGCAGATATATATTGATATACCTTTCTCACTACACCATTCCACACACATACCTTTCATTGTAGCAATTGTAAATTGACTTTCCAAAGTAGTCCTTCCATAGTCTGTAAGAAAATATCAATTAATAAATCAATACATTGTCAAAGGCAGAACTAAAAGTACACTGATAAAAAAAGTTAAGATCATAAAAAATAGAAACAGGAGCAGGCTGATCAGCCCCTAGAACCAGATCCACCTTTAAATAAGTTCATGGCTGACCTGAAATTCCTCACATCCACTTTCTTGACCTTTCCTGGTAACCCTTGATTCCCCTGCTGGTTGGGAATCTATCTCAACCTTAAACATATGCAAGGACTCTGCCCCCACAGTGCTCAGCCATCTAAGAAAAGAAATACATCCCCATCTTGGACTTAAATTGTCCTCCGTTTATTCTGAGACTATGTCATCTGGTGCTAGACTCTCCCATGAGGGGAAACGTCTTCTCAGCATTTACCCTGTCAATCCCCTTAAGAAGCCTATATATTTCACTGAAATCACCTCTCATTCTTCTAAATTCCAGTGGGAAGAGTCCAAACCTGTTTAACCTTCACTCATTAAAACAATTGCCCAGACTGGGAATCATCCTCATGAACCTTCAGTGAACTGCCTCCAATGAAATTACATCTTTCCTTAAATAATAGGACCATAGCTGCTCACAGTACTCCAAATGTGATCCCACCAACACCTTGTACAATTGCAGTAAGACTTCCCTAATCTTATACGCCAACCCCCTTGAAATATGGGCCAACATTCCATTAGCCTTCCTGATTACCTGTTGCGCCTATGTGCTAGCTTTCTTTGTTTCGTGCACAAGTATCCTCAAGGCTCTTTGTTTTGCAGCTTTCTGCAGTTTTTCTCCACTTAAATCATATTATTCTTTTGTTTCCCTTCTAAAATGCACAACTTCACATTTTCCCACATTATACTCCATTTGCCTATTTTTTGCCCATTTAACCTAGCAAAACCTCTCTGTAAACTATTTGTATCCCTCTCACAAGCTGCCTTCCCACCTATTTTTGTATCATCTACAAATTTGGTTACAGTACATTCATTTCCTTCCTCCAAGTCATTAATGTATATTGCAAACAATTGCCAGGTCTGCACTAATCCCTGTGGAACCCCACTGATTGCATGTTGCTGACCTGAAAAAGATCCCCTTATCCCCACTCGCTATTTCCTAACCATTTGATTATTCTCTATTCATGCCATATACTACCTCAAACACCATGGCCTCACAGCTTATGACTTAACCTTTTGTGAGTCAGCTTTTTGAATGCCTTCTGATTCCCCTCCATCAACATTTTTTTGACAAAGTTTCAACCACTCTAATAAATTAGTTTGACAGGATTTTCCTTCCATGAAGCCATGTTGACTCTGCTTGGTTAAATTATGATTTTTCAAACGTTTTGTTATTACTCCCTTAATAACTGATTCCAATACTTCTCCGATAATAGATGTTAGGCTAATCGGGCTTTAGTTACCTGGTTTTTTGCCTCCCTCCCTTTCATGTGTTAGCATAATAACCATTGCATTATCCACCTGCCCATTGCCATTTGAGATGCTTAAGTGGGCAATTAATGTTCAATTAAGGGCTTCATCCTGCCACTGCTAACATCAACCGAATAGCATGCAAACAGCAATCAAACTCATGCGGAATGGCTTATGCATATTCCTGAGGGATGCGTCATTCAGAAGGATAGTTTCTTATATGGGGACCTTATATCCGGAAGTGAAGAGGAGTTGCAAGTCTTCCTCTTGCCATTGTTGCTTGTACCCCTCATCCCCAATTCTGTAACCCTACTCCTGCCTTCGCACATCTGTGGCCAGGGGTGATTCTGAACCTTGGGTGAATGTTGTACAAGCAACATCACCGCCACAACCACTCAACGGACCAGTCAGCATCTAGTGGCTGGCAGCCCTTGGCAGTCAGGACTTCTGATCCCAGAGTCCTTGGTCTGGAATTGGGTGTGGAGATGGGTAACGTTTTGTGCATACATGATTCTGAGGAAGTTGGCCATTAAAATCATGAGTTGCCACCACTCAAGATGTATTTTCCTATCCCAGAAATGTGAAACCCAAAGTATGCAGAATAGATCTAGTAAAGACAGATCTGAACTTTGTGCATTTCTTGAATAGGCAGTATACCTCTTTGGAAATGGTCCCTGGACAACCTTGAGGGAGACGAGGTGTATTTGAATTTGTTGAAAGTAGGTATAAATGTATATAAAATGTGCATAAACTCAGCAACAGTCCAGCTTATTGAAACTGTCAACAGACCTATCAAAATTATCAAAAACAACTATCAGGAGAACCTATCAAAACTGTTAAGTTGTTCTGTGAAGAGGACCAGTTAGAAGCAACTGCTTTTGTAGTTGGAGCTGTAATTGTAGTTTTGGAGCTGTCAAGAATTAATAATTTTTAGTTTTGTTTTCAAAGATTCAACAGGCATCTACACTGTTAAAAAAAAAAAGAATCTTGCTTGTGTTTTTCACTTCACTGAAGAGAGTTTCTGTTACCAGATTAGTTCTGCATGACTAATTTCACAACCATCCATTAATACAGAGAGCAGACTGGCATTTTACAATTTGACTGACAGTTACACGTGATTATTGATTCTTTGAAATGAAACTGTATCTTCAATGGACAATTATAATTGTATTTTATAGCACTTCATTTTACCTCATCTCTGCATGGGGTCTGAGGTTAATGTGGAGGAATGGCCAGCAGTGCCAAATGAACATCAATGATCTTATCCACTCTTCCACCTCACACTCTTTCTGCTTTTGCACCCACCTCCTACCAAAGTGCGTGCTCTACTGCAACATGTTCCCTCAAACGCTCTCACCCACCCTAACCTCCAATACTATTAATCCTTCATAGCCTTTGTGTTGTGCTACTTACTTGTCTGGAACACCCCACCATATTTTGCCCATCTGCACCAGCACCATCAAATGTACCTCACATTTTCAGCTCATTCAATCTCTCCTTTACTTTTGTTCCAGGAGAAGATAGTCCACAGTAAGGCAGAAAGAGCCGAGATAAGTGGAGGGGTGGCAGAAAACAGACCCCACAAGTCACTACAAGGAGTGAATCCTGGCATGTATGGTTAGATATAAAGGTTAATATTAATGAGGCAGGCTGTGCCATTAATAAGGCAGTTAACAGGCTAGAATCCCTGAACTGACAATTCACTGCTGCCACGCAAGAAATTTGCCTCGATACCCAGCAAATGCATTGAACAAGCAGCAAGTTGCTCCGAACATTGAGATGAGCCTTGTTGAACTTCTTGTCTTATTCTGTCACAAATTGCACCATAGCCCACTTCACTGGAACCTCTATAAGATTCCATGCAATGTTTCTTTTTGTCATGAACTTACCTGTATGATTCAGGATAGTATAAACGGTTTCCATGCCCGCATGAATATGATCAGCCACATGACAATGCAACAGCCAAATACCCGGGTTCGATGCAATCATTTCTATAGTCTGGAATGTTCCAGGGAATAAATCATACACATCGGCTCGGTAATCGTTATCCATCTTTGAGAACATAATGCAAAATGTTCAGTATCATCCCGTAGAAAATGTGCCAGAAATTTTCAGATCTATGCCCCTATGGATGACACATTACACCAGGAGTGTACTACAGAAAAATATGCTCTCTGCAGCATACTAATAAGGTGGATGCTTAGAAAACATGTCACACACAAATCAATGGTGATCACTATCTAGCCATGTGTGTGGAGGTAGGGTATGTGGATATGGCTCTTAATTGGGTATGACGGGATAAATATTGTAACGGAGCATATATCATATCAAGGCATTTTCCATCTCTGTTTGGCCAATAGTTCTCTTAGTTCAACCAGTTCCACTGGGACTGGTGGGTACAACCGTAATTGTACAAAATTCCCCAGTACAGAAGTGCCCGGTGCACGTAAGACTTGGGTCTCATGAATGGGGAAGTCAACTGCAGTATTTTAATGGGCCTTTGCCTGGAGATTGTAAAATTCTGCTCAAAGGTTTGAAAAGTAGGATTAGGGTACATGCCATTTTTTAATCCAGCAGACACAAATAGATCCGATAGCCTCCTCCTGTGCTGTTAATTTACTATTTCTATGCCTCACTCAATTACTGTCTTTTGTTAAAAGTTTTCATCTTATACTCATCAGGACTATTTGCAAGAAATGCCAATGCAAAGGGGAAGTAACATTTATAATGTTTAAGAGAACAGTTCTGATCGGTGGGCAAGTGGACTCCATGGTAATGCCTCTATTAACCAGAGTCCACTTGTCAAGCAACAAGCACTTTCCTTTTACGCACTACAAATGCTGTTTTCACTTTGCTTCGATATTTTTTGCAAATTAATCTGATGAATACAACATGGAAAGGTTCAACAAAGTGTATTGTTTTATCAGCAATTCTTGAATTCTGTACTAGCAAATTGCTCATAATCTATCCTTTTTGATAATGTTATAAGCAAGGTTGTAGGAGTGCACTGTTGTTCCACTCCCAATTCTCCGCATATTGCAACATAGAAATAAAAAGAATTTTTCTCAGAACCACATAAAAAGGTAAATACATGGCTCAAAGATTGGGGTGGGAGAAACGTGTTCAAATTCATCAGTCATTGGTACCAGTACTGGAGAAGGAAGGAGCTGTACCAATGGTAAGGTCTCCACCAGAATCATGCTGGGACCAGAATCCTGGCGAATAGCATAACTAGGGCTCTAGATAGGGCTTTAAACCAAATAGTGGGAGGGTGGGTTCAGTAGCATGGAAAATGAAAAATAAAAGGTCCAGGAGATGGTAGGATTGCAGGGTAATGATGGGGTTGATTCTTTCCAGAAAACAAAAGGAACAGAATGAATGTCATATTATAGCAAGGAACCATAAAAGTGTAGGGAAGTTTGATAATAAGAACAAATTTAAAGGTGCTGTGTCTTAATGCACAAAGCATTCAGAATAAGATGAACTGATGGCACAAATTGATGTAAATGAATATGATTTTATAGTCTTTAGACAACTGTGGGTAACATGAGATCAAAACTGGGAGCTTAGCATTCAGGGTATTTGACCTTTTGGAGAAATGGGAGGGATGGAAACAGTGATGGGGTAGCACTGTTAATAAGAGATGAAATGAGGACAATTATGAGAAACAATCTAGGTTCAGATGATGTAGGGTCCATTTAAGCAGAGGTAAAAAAATCAGCAAGGGAACGGAGACATTGGTAGGAATAGTGTAAGACCCCCAAACAGTTGCCACTCTGTGGAAAAGACTACAAATCAACAAATAATAGAATGCAGAAAGAATAGAGCAATAATTATTGTTGACTTTAACCAACATGTTGATTGGGTAGCAATGACAATGAATTGATAGAGCGCAATAGGGGTAGTTTACTCAACTAATGTCACGGAGCCAATCAAGGAGCAGGTTATCGTGGATCTAGCAATGGGTTATGAGGCAGGTTTAATAAATGACCTCCAAGTAAAGATCCTCTAGGAAAAAGTGAGCGTGACCTGATAGAATTTAATATTCAGTTTAAGAGTGAGAAACTTGGGTTGTAAACAACTTCGTTTAACTGAAATAAAGGAAATTACAATGAAATGCGGATAGAATTAGCTAAAGTGAACTGGGTGGATAGATTAGCAGGAATGACTGTAAGCAAGCAGTGGCAGATATTTAAGGACATAGTTCATGATTCTTTGCAAAAATACATCCCAGTAGGGAAGAAAGATTCTAAGAGGGGGATAAACCAACCGTGGCTAATGAAGTAAGTTAAGGAAAGAAGAAAGTTGAAAGAAAAAGCATATAAGGAGGGCATAGTAAATGATAGCCCCAAAGGCTGGGTTAAATTCATAATTCAGCAAAGGAAGACTAAAAAGTTAATGAAAATGAGGGCAAATTGGCGAGGAATTGAAAAACTGAAAATAAAAGCTTCTTAAAATATATAAAAAAGGGAGAGGTCAAATTGACAATAGGCCACTTAGAAAATGGATCTGGGGAGATGGTTTTAGGGAAGAAAACTGTGGCAGAAGAGTTAAAGGGATATTATGTTGGGAGATACTTGTAACATTCCCTCAATACTAAAGAATACTGGAGAGGAATTACTTAGACAGTACAGTCCCCCTAAGCCTAAATTGAGTAAGAGAACTCATAGGTTAGTATCTAGGAGAGTGCACACCGTGGAAAGCCCTGACTACATCGGACTTGGAATGGTTAAATTGCTTAGCAACATCCAAATCAGAGTCACTCAAAATAAACATCTGGTTAAATGGTCACCTGTTTCTAAAGGAGGTTGATACTGGTGTGGCTGTAACATTGATCGTAGAACCAGTCTTTCACAAAATTCGCTCTGGACTCCAACCCTTATGTTTCCATAAGGCCTTGGCTAGACCGCAAACTACAGTGAGGAACCTTTAGGGATTAAGGGTATAACTTGGGTTCTGGTCTTGTTTGAGATGCTGTTGGTTCAATTACTACTGATTGCAGTAAAAGGCTTAGGCCTAAGCTTGATGGGGTGAAATTGGTTGAAAAAGATTCACCTAGATTGACTCAACATTTCTTGGTTAGAAAATGGGTGAAAGAGTGAAGTCCTAGTTAAATACTCAAAGTTTTTCAGGAAGATCTAGAGACATCAAAGGAGACAAGGCCACCTTGCATAGCGATCAGGAGGCAATTCCATAATTCTGCAAGGCCAGCCCAGTGCCAATTGCCTTACAGGCAGAAATCAGGGGGCTGGAAAGCAAAGGAATCATCAAATCTGTCCAGTTTGCAGAATACGCAACACTGGTCATACCAATTTTGAAGCCCGACAGATTGGTTCACCTTTGTGGGGATTTTAAACAAATACTAAACTGCTTCTCACAGCTGGATAAATACCCAATCCCTCATGTAGAGGATTTATATGCAAAGCTAGCAAGGGGGCTGTCCTTCATGAAGCTGGATGTGAGCCATGCATTCTTGCAGTAGCGTTAGACAAGGATTCCCAGAAGTATGCTACAATTAATACACATAAGGGTTTACATCACTGTACGAGATATTGTTTGGGCCATTTGGGGTATCATCAGCCTGGGCTATTTTTCAGCAGACAATGGAGAACATTTTACAAGGTCTCCCCCAGGGTCGCCATTTATCTGGATGACGTGCTAATAACAGGGAAGCTGAACAAAGAGCACTTAGAGACCCTGGATATAGTTCTTAGATGTTTCTCCAAAGCAGGTGTATGCCTTAGAAGGAAAAATGTGTGTTCCAGGCACCCCAAGTATCTTACCCGGGCAACAAGACTGGGTTACATCCAAAGTGAGGGCAATCAAAGTTGCCTTGGCTCCCACGTCTAGTACCGGAGCTTGGGCCTTTCCTTGGGTTGATGAATTCATTCATAAACTAGCCTCCATCCTGGCACCCTTACATCTGCTATTGAAATAGGGTCAGCCTTGGAAATGGTCTCGTAGCCATGACATAGCCTTTAGGAAAGTGAAGAAGCAGCTATCTTAGTCTAGGGTGTTGTCACTCTATGATTCTAAGCGAGATCTCCTTGCAATGCCTACCCATATGGTATTGGGGTAGTGTTGGCTCACTGGTGGCCCAATGGAGAGGAACAGTCAATAGCTTCCTGAACTTTGGCTGATGCCAAATGCAAACATGCCCAGATAGAGAAAGGAGGTTTGGCGATCACCTTTGGTGTAAGTTCCACCAATACCATTATGAACATGAATTTATAATAGTAACAGACCCCAAACCCCTGCTTGGGCTACATAAGGAAGATGTGGCCATGCTGCCCACAACCTCAGATTGAATTCAGTGGTGGGCTCTCATTCTAACTGTGTACAATTACAAGTTGGAACACCGTCCAGAACATCAAGTAGCAAATGCGGATGTCTTGAGCTGTCTCCTGCTGGCAGATACACCACCAGTGGTGCCACCACTGGCAGAGTCTGTTCTGGTTTCAAACTCTCTCAATACCTTTCCGGTCACTGTTAACAATATCAGACTGTGGATGCAAAAAGATCTAATACTGGCAAAACTTAAACAGCTAGTGTTGATGGGGGAACCCAAAGGGTCACCATAACCAGAGCTGAAACCTTTCTGAACCCGGGGAGATCAGATCACAATACAGGATGGTATTTTATTATGGGGTGATTCAGTGATTTTTCTGAGCAAGATACTGGCTGAACTCCACCAGGGGTGTCCAAAATGAAGATGTTGGAGAGAAGTTATTTCTGGTGGCCAGGACTGGATGATGACATAGCCACATTGGTGGGGCAGTGCCCAGAGTGCCAACATGGAGGAAGATTACCGCCAGCAGCGGCCCCACATTTGTACAAATGGCTGGGTAAACCCTGGACTCAGTTACACATCGACTATGCCAGCCCTTTCATGTGCTTAGTCATGGTTCTTAGTCATTGAGGAGCTCATTCAAAGTGATTGGACGTGCATAGAGTTAATTTGTCAAATAGAGGTACAATGATACAAAAGCTGTGAGCATCTTTTGCAATGCACGGCTCTCAGAAGTGTCGGTCACAGACAATGGGCCATTAGT